TTAACATGTTCTGAGTGTCCCATTTCAGTCCTGTATTGTAGGCTATGGAGAACTCAAGGAATTCACACACACCTGCACAGTGCACTCAAACATATTTATCTATACATAATATCTGTAGGCTGATCGGAGGTCCACACTTACAGGCAACAATGTTGAAAGTTTGGTACTTTGGCTGAAGGAAAAGAGGAAGTTTTGTGCTCATAAGTCACATTGAAATGAATGTGACTGTGGTACATTCCCTTCCTCTTTGCTTCCCCGGTGATCTTTATCACGGTTTCCTGAGACTCCCCCCATTTTGTATCAGTCTTGTATTTATTCACTCAATGACAACGGTATTATTTCTGCACTTTCTGTTGTAACCCCAGTTCTCTGTATGACTGTACCTATCTCAAGTGTATCAACAGATGACGGCAGAACATCATAACTAATTTATAGACTTAAACTGTGAGTCTTTAAAAAAACAAACAAAAACAGAGCAGTCCTAGTCCGACTTTCAGCACCTTTACAACCATCTAGGAAGTGAAAGCACAGCGTACGCCAGTAACTACAAAACCACCTGAACAAATAAAATTATAGCACTGGTCACATACTTAACTGAAGCGCTGCTCATTACCTACATTACTTGCGACGTATTGGTTATAGCTGTTTAATCTCTCGTTAATGGAAATATCTAAATCACATGACACTGTGAACCGAGCATCAGAACAAGCAAGAAAGGTGATTTAAGGCACTCTGACATGCAAGGATTGTTGGTGCCAGACAGGCTGGTCTGAGCATTTCACACTAGCATCTCTAGGGTTTACAAACAAGTCTCAAAAAGAGAAAATATAGAGCAAGTTCTGTGCAAAATGTCTTGTTGATGCCAAATGACAATAAATATAATAAAGGTTAGGCGAGTTTCCACTGCCAATCAAAGATACAGATGCTTTTCATTAAGTACTTAGAGCTCTGGTTTTCATATTGGACTCTCACCTGGCTTTTATATATTGTGATTGTCTTAAAATATCCTAATGACAGCTTATTGCTAAAACATCTCCACCTTCTTATCCTGTAATAACACAGTTATTAAAGTGTTTTTCATTAGAGTGTGCTGGTGTTTTCGCCCTTTTCCAGATATCTGCCCGTTCTGTAAACACTACTCGCATTTCTAGACTTCTGCAGCTAGAAACAACCTCGCTCCACTACACCAATCTCTTGATACACTTTAAAGGTACCCAATCAGGCTATAGAGAGAACATGAGTGAACGAGCGGGTCCAACAACAGGAGTAAGTCATGAAAACCTGACAAAAAGATGACTTCCCAGCAAACAGATATCAGACATACCATTTTTTTGCGTGAATGACTTCCCCCAGAGTCATTGACACAACACCAAAGTATCTAAGTAATTGATAAACAATTAAATGACAGAAAATCTCTTGTTTTCCACTGCACTATAAAAAATATGGGAAATATGGGACAGTGTGGGATTGAGCTCTAACATTTTCTGTGATTTCACACCTTTATCATGTAGAAAAAACTTGTAATGTAAAGAATCTAAATTTATTACTAAATAAAGTAAAAAATAGAGTACACCGAGTGCGTTTCTCTCATAAGACCTTTACAAAGCTGATTTTAACCTTTAAGACCTGCATACTGTATGCATAAGTGTAAACACAGCTTTTGCATGTTTCAGAGAAAATGACAAAAACATGATTAACTAATAAATACAAGTTTTAACAAGACTTATGGATTTTTATTAAGAATTATAAGTTAGAGTACAGAAAAGCTGAACACAAAAAAAACTTTCCCAAAGGAAATACAAACAAAGTTGTTGATCATTGCATCAATATTTTCTCAGTCCTTGGAGATCTAAAATACGTTTAGCAAACACTTTTCAGGGTATACAACAGTTCCAGGTTCGCTCGTTGGGCAACACTCGACAGAGTCGCAGGCAGCAGCTGATGGTGGGCTCATACATCACTATGTCTGGTTCTCTCTCGCTTTTTCTTTGCTGTGCAGGACGAGTGAACAGTGAGGGTTTAGGACTTTTAGCCAGAGTTTTCTTGGTCACACAGCCCAGTTCGATAAGTGCCTGTGGAAGAGACAGAAAGAGTAAAAACACAACCATAAAAAGGGTCAATTTTTGTCTTTGATGCATTTTATACAATGTTTCCTGCAGTCTGAAGGCTAATCTCTTGGCTCACAGGTATTCTTAACAAAGTTGCAGAAATTGTCATCTCAAACTTCGAACATGTTTAATATGGGCACATTATCTATATGACAAAAAATAAGGAAAGACGGCTCTTTTATAGCAATGTTAAAACTGTGACAAGCTAAAGAGTGCTAAACGTGTAAAGACAAGTTATCCTGGGATGCACGTTTTAAGAAGTTCTTCCTTTGACCTCATCAAACTTGTCTTAACTTTTATATTTGTCATTTTTCATGTTGTGTATAGTGCCCCCCAAAAGCTGGGATGCTGCAATTTACAAATCTCATAAACTACTTCCAGCTAATTAGGTTAATGGGCAACAAGTCAGTAACATGACTGGATAAAAGAAGAGCATCTTAGAGACGCTCAGAGTTTCTCAGAAGTAGGGACAGGAAGAGGTTCACAATCTGCAAAAATAACGGTGTCTACAAATTGTGGAACAATTGAGAATGTTCCTTAATGCCAGATTGTGAAGACTTTAAATAGCTCATCATGTGCAGTGCATAATGTCATCAATCTCTGCACAAAGGGTAAAGCTGAAAATCAGTACTGGTTATCGTGTCATCCACAAATGCCTGTTAAAGCTGCATCACGCAAAGACGAAGTCACGTATGAATATGACCCAGAAATCACAGCTTCACAACTAACTTAAAATGGACTGAGAAAAAAAACGTTCTGTGATCAGATGATCACAAATTTGAAATTTCTTTTTGAAAAATATGGACGCCAAAAACTCTGGACTAAAGAGGTTAGGGACCACCTCAGCAGCTTGTGCATATGAAAAGGCAACATGAATGCTGAAAGGTATAAACAGTTTTTAGAGCAGCATCACGTCGTTTTCAGGGAAGATCTTGCATATTTCAGTAAGACACTACACTGCAGACCAGTATGGCTTCATAGCAGAAGAGTCCAGGTGCTGAACTTCCCTGCCTACAATCCAGTCTTCTCAACAACTGAAAACATTTAGAGCATGGAACCAGAAATGCAATAAAAAGAGCCAGGACTGCTGAGTGGGTAGAATCCTCCATCGGACAAGGATGGGAAAACATCCTCTCCCAAAAGTCCAGCAGTCGGTCTCCTCAGACGCTAAATGGCAGCAAACAACTTTTCTGAGACTTGATCTATTTCACAACTTTAAACATTTGACACCTTTTATAGTGTGAATAAAATCTGGGTTAATGAGATTTGCAAATCATTGCTTCCTATTTTTAAAATCACGTTCTACACAGCAATTGTGTTGTGTCTGCTATTCAAAGACACAGGCATATTTTTAACATTTAGGCATGGATTTAGTGCCGCTATAAGGCTGACTGGTTCATTTTCACTACTCTCATCAGTGCACTTGCTCAGCCCAGCAACAAACTGTCACTACAGAAAGCATTTACCTGCTAAAGGAGCTGATAGAGGTCAGAAGGGAGACTGAATATTGGACGTGTATGACTCAAGTGCTCAAATAATGGAAAGTCTATTTTATCTTTAGATCCTTTAGATTTAGATTTCTAGTGTTTGTGTGTATAAAATGTTGATGTACTTAGACGAAAAAATAAAAAAATAGATGAAGTAACAACTACTAGACTGGAATACCTGCACAAGATCCTGAACTGCCACTGGCTGCAGCAAATCTTTGTAATGCTCCACCAGCGCCTGGTGTGTCAGGCCGGGCTGAGACATGATGTGGTAGAGAACAGCTTCCAGCATGCCCTTACACACCTGCCGGTTCACCTTACCATCAACCAAGCGCCAGGGCCGGCTGATGAAGCTGGTTTCACTGGATGCAAAAAGGAGAGAGATGAAACTTGGAATATTGATGAAGGGAAAAACGAAAACCTTGGTATGATTAAATTTGGTACTCACGCATCAGTATCGGGGCCTGTGGAGGAAGAGCACGCCTCATCGTTGTTCTCGTCGTCTTTCCTTCCTCTTCTCAACCTCTGCTCATTCCTGTTACCTTGTCTTCTCTCTGTGTCCGTCGTCTTCTTCCTTTCCTGTTTTTCCTCCTCCTGTATCTGCTTTCCTCCCTCCTCCTGCAATAACAACAACTGGTCTCCCCTCAACTCATCTGTCCTCTCCATCGGCCGTTCCAGTTGTTCCAGCTGTTTCTTCTCATTTGTTTCTTGGTTACTCGGCACTCCGTCCACATCCTCTTTGTCAGCGACGTCCTCTCTATCCACAGCCAATCTTTTCTCCGGTGGTTCTTCCTTCTCCACTTGGAATTCTCGGCTGCACCGCTTCCGTATAAAGGGGATGGTTTGCTTCTTCTCCAAAAACGGGTCTGACGCAATGGATGACTGAGACCAGTGCTTGGAGCTGACAGTAAGAAGCCATGGTCCAGCGAGCTTCATGAGCACCCAGCGGACACTGAGACTCCCAACTTTTACCACCTGGCCTTCTTCTTCCAACTCCTAGAACACAAACATGTGGCTATGAGTCACTGCCATTTTTAATACTTTTTACAAGGTGATTCCTCTGTAATTATTGCAGCTTCAGTGTTGTGTAACATTTCAACTACATATCCAGAAAATTAGAACAGACTAAAGAAACTGAATGAGGTGCTGTGGCTTTCATCATTGGAAAGAGGTGCATGATGTAAAGCCTGGCTTAGACTCCTGTGGGGAATCCTAGTAGAGACGTACAACATAACCTATTCCCTACCTAGTGTCTGATGTTATTGCCCACATTTATGCTGGTGCATTATGTGTAATAACTGTGTCCCGGTGCCAGTTTATAGAAGGGAAAAAAAATAAATAAAATTTCCCCTCCTGGGTCTCCACTTTTTGTTCCGGTCCTTTTTTTTTCAGGAAAAATATATTTGCTTCTATTCCGATAGTTTCAACTCGAGGAATTTGCTGGCGTTTGGGAATCTTTATATTATACTATGACTACTATTCCTCATACTGAGAGAATGATTGTTATTCTCTCACTAATAAATTCAAAAACTGGTGAAAAAGTAGTGCACATAATGAACTGATGGTGCTGAACGACATGTAGTTCCATGGGGTTTGCATTTATGACATCGCTACAGTGAAGATTTCCCATTGAAGCACAATGAAAGCAGTAATGCCTAGAATTTTAAAACATCCTGGGGACGTGTCATTTTTCAGTTCCTGCAGTGCAGACACGCAAACAAAGGGAGAAATCCTTAAAGAGTCATAAGAACGATGACGAAGATCCTGTAGCAGGAAATAAAATAAAACGATGCAGAAAACACATCGTAACATAACTTAGACACCAAATCTGTTTTCTTCACCCTTCACATAAGGATGTTGCGTTTAGATTTTTTTAGATTTTGATTTTTACCTCCATGTACTGCTGCAGCTTCCTGCTGCGTCCAGACTGCGGCTCCAGCAGGTTCGCGTGAGCCTCGAGAAAGTCCCAAGCATCCCAACCTCTTTCACCAGCTTCATCTAAGCTCCTCATGATCTGAGTGCACGCGTCAATGTCCCGCGGGGTGTATCCCTTTTGCTTAACAAAGCGCCTGTAACACTCCTCCACAGTGGGTGGAGAAAAGGAGGCTGAACGGACGAAGGAGGTGAGGTTGGAGGGCAGAAGGGATGGACCGCATTTTGTCAAGTCCAGAGGTGGAAAGTCTAAAAATGAAGGAAACAGAAAATAAAGGATTTTATTTTTGAACACCAGACTCCGTTTGTATAAAAGTCTAAAATGCGGTGTCTCTTACTCTCTGCACTGAACAGGTTGTGAGCGGGCGTGTTGCGCAGCTGCAACCTCATAATACACGACTCCATCACAATGCTATCATTGGTGTTTAGGTTGCGCACTTTTACTAGAAAAAGAGAAGAACAAACATAAATAGAAATGCAACATCCTTTAATTTTCTTAACACAGAAAACGCCTACAAATTATATTACTAGCAATCAACTGATGCTACTGCAGGACTGCTGCTAATAAACACAATGCTAGCGACTGCTGTCCATGAGTGTGTGAAAGACAGACAGGACCAGCTTTGGCGTTGTGTTTGTCTTCCATGTTGTTAAAACCCTTATGCAGCAATCAGAGAGGGAGAGAAACTCAATTCCACCCCAGTGATCCATTTCAAAAATGAGCGACAAAATCAGAGACAAAAAGCGTATAAAACCCAAAATATGACATTTTTTAATCTTAAGAAGTTGCTCTACTCATCTGGATTTCTTTGTGAAAAAAAAGAGGTTGTTTCTCCGAAGATTTTCTAAGAAGATTCTTGATCGAATTGTTTACAAAACAATGAAACAGCTCAATGATCACAAAACTTTTCCACCTTTGTGCATAAATTATAAGCCACCTACCTACCTCAACTCTCTTAAGACTTACAGATCGGCATGGATCATGTGACCCTGAACCCTCCTTTAGTTATACTGTCTTCTTCACTCACTATGTGTTCAGACACCACCCTGTATTCAATCATTTGTTATTATTAATCTCTGGTGTGCGTCTTTTTGTCATGTCTTTGTTCCCTCACCCCCAACCAGTCACAGCAGACGGCTGTCCCTCCAACAGACAGCTGTTGTGCTGGAGGCTTCTTCCTGTTTAAGGAAGTTTTTCCCTCCCACTGTCGCCAAGTGCTTGCTCATAAATGGTCATTTGAATATTAAGCTTTTTATGTCTATTATTGTCGGGTCTTTACAATAAAGCACAGCGACTGTTGCTCTGATT